TACTAACATTTTGTAGAGGAGGAAACGGGCATAGAAATAGTTAATTGTCTTAATTAGGTAGTAACTGTTGGTGTTTCTAACCACTGCGGAAATTGGTAGGAATCCAGTAATGACCGTCTTAACGATAGAATTATTTTCTATCAAATTTTAAAATGTTGTTTATAGGTTTTGGTTTGAAGGCTAACAAAATCCTGTTTTGAAATAAAGTTGTTTCAGGTGGTTGATCGGATTCCTTTTTGGATGGAGGCAGTTGGCAGTTAATTAAGATTACAGGCATGGTCCGTGCAGTTTTTTAAATTATTCATTTCCATACCTATAGTTTTTTTAAAATATTTAATATCAAGAAACAGAATAGCTGAACATTGTCTTCATAACCCCATGTTACACGTCCTCAGTCTTTTTTCTTTCTTTCTTTCTTTCTTTCTTTCTTTCTTTCTTTCTTTCTTTCTTTCTTTTTTAGCATAAAAAAGACTTTACTGGTGAGCCTCATTCTGTATGCAGGTAACATTGATGATCCTGGTGAACTAATGAACTTTGGCCTTAGGGCACATGCATTCTGGATGGGTCTTTAAAATGCATGTGCCACATCTTGGGAATGAGTGAGGAATTAGAGAAAAGCAAGAGTGGAGGGAAGGGCTTGGATTGATAGACACAATTGAATATGCTAGTTGGGATCTAGTTAAGAGGCCGAATAATTCATTATTTAGGAATCACCTTCAGAGATAGCAGTGCTAAAAAATTAGCATATTAGTTTGTATATAGAAAAGATTCTTTAAAAAGATGGCGTTTGCTGTAACCCCAGGGTCTTTTTCATACACGAAGCATTCAATTTTGTCAAAATGATTGAGACTCAGTTGAGCGTTTTCACCTTGAGTAGCATTTAATATAATTTTATTCAACTTTTTCCAGCAATAAAAACACTTAATAGCACGTGTTTATTTTTCTATTGTATTTTAAGCTAAATACCAGAGGTTGCCATTCATTTGCTCTTTCAACCAGTATTGACAATGGTGCCTTTTATGTAGAGCAGTGGACAATTGGAACAGACTAGTACGTAATATAATGCAACTTAGCATCTCTGGGAGAAGGACAATAAACAAATATGAAGGATCTAACATGGGGCAGTAGATGTTAGGAAGAAAAATAAAGAAGGGAGTGAAGTGTTGGGCACGCTGTTTTACACAAGGCAGTTGGAGAGGGCCCCCCTGGAAGAGTAACGTTTGAATAGAGACCTGGAAGATGGGGGGATGGTGAGGGAGGGGAGCGTGGTAGCTAATACCTGGAGCGAGTCCCAGACAGAGGCTGTGGTCAAGGTAAAGGTGCTGGAAGATGCCTGGGGCACCAGAGGTCCAGCAACAGACCAAGATGGATTGAGTGGAGTGGTAACAGCTGGGATCAGAGACCTGTGGGTAGAGTGGTAGGACCTGTATGGCATTGCCATGTTTTGGGGTTTGTTCTGGGTGAAGGGGAAGCTGCGGGGGACTCCAGCAGGGGTTGTGGAGCATCTGGCTTATGTTTTAGAAGGGTTACTGGCTGCTGTGCTGAGGCAAGGATGGAAGCAGAAAGTGAGAGTAAGAGTGAGCAGTAGCACGGGCTAGGGTACGTGTGTGACAAGGCCGTGGGGCTGGCTCTCCAGCAGTCCGTTGTCTGCTTAGTGAGGAAAATTCGAAGTGTGTGAAGGAAGTATGGTAAGTTCAGGCTTCGATGCCCTTAAACATCACTGGAAGTTTAAAGGCAAGCTCTTGTCGTTAGTTGAGCTTCTTGTAGTATGAAGGCCTTTGGGAGTTTGGAAAAGTTGGACGGCACGAAGGTGGAATCATTTAAAGGGCAGTGTCCAAAGTGATATGTTGGATGTCTACTCTAAGCTCTAGGGTGTGCTGAAATATTTGTAAATGGAGCATGAGTGTTTGAATCAGAACAAAAAATGAAGAATAAATTGTAGGGCTGCAGTGGACCATTTTGAGAAGCTTTGACTAATTGTAGAAAGAAAAGTAGAGCCCCTGACAACCCAGCAAATTTGGAAAAATGATCTATTTAGAGAGAGCCCTGTTGGGACTGTGATTTGATGTGAAGAAGGAAATGGAATCCTGGAACATGGCACTGTGCTTACAGGTTTTTCTGCTTATATTGTGTTTGAAACATTTACAGCCCTCACAGTTCGCTGACTCCATTTTCCCAGAATTTAAAATAATACTCCCCTCTTGGGGTTGTGATTCTGATTAAAAATGCTGGCTTATGGACTAAGAGCTTGTGGCTATATATGTGATGAAATGGATTTTCTTTCTTTCTTTCTTTCTTTCTTTCTTTCTTTCTTTCTTTCTTTCTTTCTTTCTTTCTTTCTTGTTATACTTTCTCCTTGATTTCTTCTTCTTCTGCCTTTGTTTTGTCTTCAAGGGCTTTGTTGGAGATATGTAAGGGAATCACATAATTCTTATTTGGGAGTTTATCTTTCCTCTGCTTATTTTTCCACCCTCTGTTAATATGTGATATAAACAGTCTTCCCCAGGGAGAGTAATTGTAATTCTGCAAGCTGAAAAATTTAACTTCAGGTGAAAAATCAGTAGCAGAAGTTGATGAACCTTAAACAATAAATATTTGTATTTTATGCAGCTGCCACTAGCAATTAAGAGAAAATAACTAAGTGGAATGGAGTTGAAGTCACTTAGACACTCTGAGGGGTTCCCGGTGCATTTACAGGACAGGATGGCAAGCTATTAGGGAAGGTTTTGTTGAATGTCTATGGCACATTGCCACCTTGTGGCTGCAACTTTTCATTTTAATGTAAAAGAGCAAATTCCTGATATTAAATCTACGTGATAGAAACTTATTTTATCTTTTTCCAGTTGTTTATGATTTAAGTTGATAACAAAAGATTTGCCACCTCTTGAAAGGTTATATAATACAGGGTAGGAGAATTAAAGAGAACGCTCTTATTCTTAGCAGAAGTGTGCTGAAATTTTGAGGGGGTGAAGATCCATAATGTCTGCAAAAAACTACTCTGTGTGGGGATTGGAGACAAAGAGAAAATGAACAAAAAACAGTGGGGCAAAAGGTTAACCCTTCACCAGTGGTCATGGAAATCAGGGTGCTCATTGTAGTCTTAAAACATTTTTTTTATGTCATTGCAAATTTTGTTCTGAAATTTTTCAGATTAAAAAAAAAATTGGCAGGAGAGGGCGCCTGGCTGGCTCAGTTGGTAGAGCATTCGACCCCTGATCTCGGGGTTGTGAGTTTGAGCCCCATGTTGGGTAGGGAGCCTACTTTAAAATTAAAAATATTTTTAAAATTGGCAGGAAAAAAACTGGGATAAGGGCATAAAATGGAGCCAAGAAGGAGGCAGAAATAACTTCTACATTGTGTAATGATGAAACTACGTTTGGACCACTGATTGCATTTTCCAGTAGCTGATGTGTCATTGACCAGGGTTCCATTGAGCTAGTTTGGTGTCCTTAAGGTTTCAGGCCAAAGTGTCTAAAGTTAGATTCGGTTCCTTCTTGGAGGTCGTCCTAGGTAGGACACTGTTGTAGTGAACAGCAGACTCATCAAAGAGCTTCCAAAAGTGCAATCTGGAATTGGAATCCCTTTTCTCTACTGATCTGGCTTGATCCTGAAGTGGATGCACCGCAAGTTTTTTGGGGGGACCTCTCACAAGAACACTGAGTGGCAATGTAATACAGTAAAAACCTGATAGGGAAAAAATTTGAGGTGGGTCTTACTGACAAGTGCTTGAAATCCAGCTGTTCAGTGTCACTAATGAATGCAGTGAACTTGGAGGGGGGAGTTGGCTTCTTGTAATAGCTGAGCCAATGAGTCCGTTCCACCTCAGTGGGCTTGGGGGAGTTACTCATAGGGTTAAATTTCTTTCGTGCCATGCTTTTGAATATGCTTCGGTGCAAAGACAGACCAGTGGATGATTTTTGTCCCTCAATTTCATTTTCCTATAAAATATATCCTTGAGAGTCTTAATTGGAAAAAAACGCAGACAGGTATAAGCAGAAATCCTTCTCTCTGCCCAGGAAAACCACACAAAATAAATCTCAGGGAGGCATCCTTAAAAATGCCCAGATTTGGGCAGTGCTACTGAACTCTTCTCTGAATTTAAATTTCTACCAAGTATTTTTCTGTGGCATTTGGAATTTCCACGAATACCTTCCGTACTTCTTTCTTGTTAATTAACCATCTCTATATAGGTATATGCATATGAATATTTTTGTCCTTAATAACCGTCTAGGCACATATATATGCATATGTACTTTGAAGGTGAACATTTTAGAAGATGTGGCCCTGTTCGAATATGAAAGGTTTTCTTAGAAAAGGAGGACAGATCTTGAAATAAGTGTTGCGACACAAGGGATTCTTTTGTAGAAAGCTGTCTCTTGAAGTGGTTTTAGTTTCTCTGATTCTCGTGACAGGTTTTCTTTTAAAAAGCTATAAAGCAGTATAGGGATGTATTGATTTGCATTAAGGGCTGTGGTGCTTAGAAATTGTCGTTCCCTGCACATATTTGTGAGCACCAGAAGCTTGGGGATTATCTTTTGTGAACAACTAAAGCAGTGGTCTATCGATTCTCAATAGAACAGTATTATTCATTTTTCTTAGAGGTATCATGGTCCATAGAAAGACACATATTTGACCCAATGACTCAGGACACATACCCAAGTATCACTTTATCAGACATTTTATGACACAGTACTTCTTCCTCATTGGACTCTAACAACTTTTATTATATTAAAAAAAATACTAGTTAGAGCTACTCAACTTGCTTTCACAACCCATTAATTTGTTGTGGCCTAGAGCCTAAAAATGATTGCTGTTGAGATTTTGCAGCCGGCCAGAATGTTTTTCAGATGCACGACCCCCTGAACTGTCTAACCACATGAGAAGCAGGCTTGGGGACAGGGAGTGAGAGAAGGATAAGAGAAGAGCTGGTCACTGGGGTTGCCAGCTGGCTGTGTTGAGAGTGTCCTCAGTGAGTGACGTCCTTGTCTTTCTTTCTGCAGCTTGACCACATCCTCTCCCCTCCACCCATGCCGTGTCGGAAATGCAGCAACCCCGATGTGACTTCTGGCCCTGCAAAGTCTCTGAAGTTTAAAAGACAGCTGAGTGAGGATGGACGAGAGCTGCGGCGGGGCAGCCTGGGAGGGGCTCTGACAGGTGAGTACTGAGTGGTGGACATGGAAGAGGAGGAATCATGCTGCGTGGACCCCGGAGTCCCGCTGCGCAAATTGGCCTGCTTCAGAATGGGCTTGCCCCTCTGCAGACCATTTTGCAAAAGCTGATCCAATGCAGAGAGCAGTAAAGTTGAGGATTTGACTGATAGTTTCTTCCTGAAACAAAATTGACGTACAATAAAAAAGGGACCTGTTTTAAGTGGACGTGTGTATGGATTTTGGCAACTGTGTACCGCGACTTAGCTGCCACCTCATTTGAGACATCAAGTGGTTTCTATGCCCTGATCTGATCATCCTCACGCCCACTCTTCATTTCTTGGCTGCAGGCAACCAGAGATCTGCTTTTCGTCACTGCAGCTTAGGTTTATCTTAAAAATTTGACATTAATGAAATCAAACAGTGCATGTTCTTTTGTGTCTGGCGTCTTGGGCTCAGTGTATTTTTAAGATTCATCTATGTTGGTGCATGTTATCAGTCGTGTATATTGAACTTTATAAGAAACTGCCAAACTGTTTCCAAAATTGTACCATGTTACATTTCCCACCAGCAACAGATGAGCGATCTAATTGCTCTGCGTCATTGCCAGCTTGTGGTATTGCCAGCCTTTTTAATTTTAGCCATTTTAATGGGTAGATAGTCCTATCACATTGTGGATTTAATTTGTATTTTTTTTTGATGACTAAACAATGTTGAGCATCCTTTCATGTGCTTGTTGGACATACTTTTATCTCCAGTGAAGTGTCTCTTCAAATCTTTCATCCGTTTTTTTCTTTGACACATTTTTAAAATCATGTTGTTAAAATTAATTTAAAAACTTTTCAAATACAGAGAATCCAAAAATCACTTGTACTGACTTGAAAGATAGCCAACCTAGGATAATTTTAAGCATTTTTTAATAACTCAGAGTATCCTTCATCCATTTTTTTTCTTTCACACGTTTTTTAATCATGTCGTTAAAATTAATTTAAAACCTTTTCAAATACAGAGAGCCCCAGAATCACTTGTATTGACTTGAAAGATAGCCAACTTAAGATAATTTTAAGCATTTTTTTTAACAACTCAGAGTATAAATTTTCATGTTATTAAACTTTAAGTCAGTGAAGGTTGGATTTCTCTTTCATTCTGAGTGCTTTTTTCCTCTAATATAAATATCTTTGGAAAAACTGTATTTTAAATCCCAAAGCAATGTTTTCTCTGCACATGACGGGCCTCTCTGCCAGTTCTTAAATGGTCTGAAAAATAAGTTGAGTTATTCACATTTTCTTGAGAATTACGGATTTTGACTTTTTGGAGTTGAAATTTCTGGGAACGGAAGTGATTCCAACATTAGGCTCAGTAGAGTCTAGAACCTTTGACCCATTGTGGCATAATGCTAGAATACAGGGTGAAACTGAATTCAGGCCAAAGGGAAGAAATTTGTCAAAAAAAAAAAAAAAACCACCCTGCACTTCACTAAGTTTAAGTAAATGTTCAATGCTTGAGTTTTACTGATGTTCCTTCAATGCTTGTTAGCGAATTTTTCTTTGCTTTCCTTTTGTAGATTCGGGGTTTTTTGGGGGGTTTTATTTGGGTTTTTTTTTTCAGGGAGATCCTAAAAATTAGGTAGTCCAACCCTTATTTTGTAGGTGGGGGGATTAACTATTAATGGTTAAAATACTCATCCCTTTGCTTACTCATTTCACTTAGGAAATGTACTTACTTTGGTTAGGCTATTTTTGATCAAAAGGAAGAGCAGTGATGGTTCTCTCCAATTTTTGCTGGAGGAGTTGACTTCAAGCTTTATTTTTTAAAGATTTTATTCATGAGAAGCACACAGAGAGAAGCAAAGACATGGGCAGAGGGAGAAGCAGGCTCCTCGCAGGGAACCCTATGCAGGACTCGATCCTGGAACTCCAGGATCACACCCTGAGCCAAAGGCAGATGCTCAACCGCTGAGCCACCCAGGTGTCCCGACTTCAAGCTTTAAAACCACACAAGAGTATATAGGTCTTGATGCAGATAAATGACCTGAATCGTGAAATTGGCTTACAGCTTTAAAAAAATAAATCTGAGATTGATTCCCACTTTGTAAATTGTGTGCTATACAGTTATTTTCGATAATTAAATGTTAGGTCAGATAATTTTCAAAAATGTTTATTAGCCCTTAGGAGAGAGAGCTTAAAAGAATCTCATGAACATCAGTCTGGTTTTTAAAAAAGTTGCTTGTAAGTTTTATTGGAATATGAAGAAAACATTCTAATTGGTCCTCTAAATAGCTTAGCTGAGGATTTAATGAAAGAATTTATGCAAAGCACTTAGCCCAGTGATGGGGTGGCTATTAGTACTATGTGCAGCATGAATTGAATTGCAGTTGATGGAGAACTTGGGCTTCTGAACATCAGTTTGGATCCCTTGTCCACTGAGTTTCTACTTCATGTCAGGCAGTGTGCTAAGAGTCTGGTTGGAGCAGATAGAAAACTTCACTTCTGATCTTTAGGAAACCTAATGTCCACTAGTTATAGGCAACTTGAATAATCGTACGTGATCTCACCTTGGAATATACTTGTTGCTAAACTTAATTAAGTCAAACTGGTTTTTGTCTTCAGAAGTCTGTGCCTGCTAGATTTTATACGTTAAAGACCAGCTTATCTTCCTATTGCTTAGTCTTGTTTTAATCTAAAAGTCTTTTTTTTGGGGGGGGGTGCTCTACTGCTTTCTTTAAAACAAAGTTTTTGTGAAGACTTATAGCTTAAAACTTTTGCGACTCAGATTCATTAAACTTAGCTCTTTGAGAGGAAGATCTGTGATGTTTTCATCTACTTATCACTAATAATAATGACCACTGGGTGCCTGGGTGGCTCAGTGGTGAGCCTCTGCCTTTAGCTCAGGTCGTGATCCCAGGGTCCTGGAATCAAGTCCCACATTGGAGTCCTCCCATGGGGAGCCTGCTTCTCCCTTTGCCTGTGTCTCTGCTTCTCTCTCTCTCTCTCTGTGTGTGTCTCTTGTGAATTTTAAAAAACAAAACAAATTAAAAATAGTAACAGCTAACTTTAAGAGCTTACTGTGTGGCATGCACTGTTTATAGAGAATTTATTGACTTAGTTCTTAAATATATTTATCCACTTGTGAGGGAGGCAGTCTTATCCCCATTTTATGGATGAAAACACTGAGGAACAGGTAGTTGGAACAGCACAAGATCTTGGTGTTCACGAACAACAGAGCCAAGACTTGAACCTGAGTGTTTTGACTCCAGAGTCCATCCTTGTAACCACTGCACTGTTCCTAACACAGTAGGTACTTAGTAAACTCCTGCAGGATTAATTGGAATGAACCCTGGGTGGGAACGTTTATGCTCATTTGGAATCCAGGGCTAACTCAATCCGTAGGGATCCTTGTCCCTTAATTACAAAAGTAAATTAAAACCATGCACTTAATCCATGATAAAAAACCCATGAAGTTTGCACATTTGTTAACCTAGCCATTCTCTTGCTCAGATTTCATCACAGGGAAATAATTGTGAATGTGTGCGGAGAAATAACACTAGTTATATTTATATCAGCACCATTTATTATAATTAAAATTGAATATCATCTAAAGACCTGGCAAAAGATAATGGCTAAACATACATATATACACATAAAATGGAAGACCATTACAAGCATTAAATATCACGTTGTAAAAGAGTTATGTTTTAACACTGACAGAGACTCACAATATGTTTTTATAGGAAATCCCATTGCGGAATGGTCTCAGGGCATTGCTTGCCTCATAGGACTTGCTGTAAATGTGATTAAATACTTGTATGTTTAACAAGAAGGAGGAAAACAATTCATGTCTGCCAAGGAGTTTTCTCATACTGGGATGGGAGTCAGCTGGGTTCCCTATATTAATGGGCACATGAAGGATGCTATGGTCTTTCTTACACGCTGCAATTCAATCCATGAGACCATGTTTTTGCCACTGAGGTGTTTTGTTTTGGTTTTGATTTTTTTTTTTTTGGTATTAGTTGGCTTATCAGTAGGTGACAGTAATATTGGAAAACAACAAAATTTCAGTGGTAGAGACAAGTGTTTGTTTCTCACTCATGTAGCTACAGATCAGCTGGGTTTTGGATATTTTCATCTGAGCTCTGCTGGGATTGGGTTGTAGGATGCTGTTTGGGTCCATATTTGCTCCACCTGCCTATCTTCTTTCTTGGACCAGCAGCTACCCAGAGCATTATGTTCTGGTGAAAAACAGGAGCAGGAGAGTGCATGTCCACCAGGTCAGGCAGGTTTCAAGCCAAGAATTGGGGCCAATAATTCTGTTTGTCATCATTGGCTTCTTTAGTTAAGACAGTGTTTTACAATAAAAATATTTGCATGTATTTGTTTTTTAAAATTATAAGTGATATCTGTTTAATATAGACAAATTAGAAAATGAAGGGGGGAAGCGAAAAGCCCTTACCTCTATCATACATTGATAGCCATAGTTGAGCTTTTGGCATTTTCTTCCCTAACTAAAATTTGGGGTGACCTCAGGGTATTAAAGAAAAATGCCATCAGTACTTTAATTTTAATTTTAATTATTTATTTTGCAAGGCTAGCTTTTAAATAATAAACCCGGAGCTTATGATGTCCAACTCTGCCTGAAAAAATTTTTTTTCTTTTTTGAGGCTAAAGGCATTTTTTTCTCTTCATGGTATGCAACTTGTTCAGTCAGCACCCAGAAGCATCATGTAAATGCTACATGGGCTCTGGAGCCCCCTAATGAGTAAAAGGAACATTATTCTAATCATTATATGGACCCTTAAGTCAAGGCATAAATATGTGAATAGGTGCCTGACAGTTCGCAGCAAGGAAGCTAGGGGGTGAAGAACACGTCAGGATCTTGCGTCCTGGCTTCTTGCTAGGCCAAGGAATGCCCCAAACCCTGCTCCTGAATTTCACGACCGTGATGTATGTTGCAGCCTTCATAGTCAGGAAAGGCAGGATTCTTTTCCTTTTGGAGAAAGCTGTGTTTTTC